AATGATTACGGACATCATTAGAACACAAATCAGTAGCTACATTTTTTACAAATGAGGATAAAATAATTTTTACACAATCGGTAGGAAAGTCAAATCCAACATGTTTGACTTGTGCTGGTTGTGGTTCATTACACTTTGTTGCTTTACTTAACCCAATCATATAAATAATAGACGACTGCTCCCGCCATTCGTGTTATTGTTGCCAGTGATCCAGTATTTCCAGCAGCCACAGCCAGGGCATTTGAAATGGTGCACACTTTTTTATATTGCAAACAGCAGCTGTATTTTCTTCACAGAATCCATGTTTCGTCTCGTGGAAGAAAACGTTGACTTGCAGCTGAACGTTAGCGTCGGCACGCCCTGGTTGCACCTTTGGAATGAACTTGGCCTCATATGCATGTGAATGAGGCATATGCATGTGCATCAAAACCAGAATGACAGGTTTATCACCTGAGGACACAAAAAGAGAGGAGGACAAATTAGATAATCAAGGAGGAAGCTCTAATGTAAGGTTTGGTGTGAAAAGCAATTCTAAGAGACGCAGACGATACATGATCATCAAAACATGTAGCTTTTTTGTTTAATTATAAATACCAATATAGGTATATTCCTTAATAAATACATACATATTTTGGTAACCTAACTTTGCTTACACAAGTAAGAGTTAACCTATATGTTCATTCAAATGTATAAGCCATTTCCATTCAGTATGAACCGGCTGAAACAAAAGTTCCCTTACCTTCAACATCTCTCAGGGCTGACTCAACATCTGGCCCCATGCGAGAAACCCCTAATGTATTCCTCCTGATTGACTTTTATATAGATATTCTTGAATAACAAAAACGTTTTTTTATTAGTTGATGGCCTAACAACTGCAAGTTAAAGAAGCTGGCATTTCATTGGGGTCTTCCTTATACTACTCACAAAATATCAGTAGTTATGTGTTTAACTCTAAGATGATAGTATCGGATGTTCAGCATGTATTAGACTACATCAACAGAAATAAAACAATTCTCATTTCATGAACAAAAGCCTTAGAATCCAATCATTTATTTGACATTTTTATTTCATGACTGCTCCTCCGTATGTGACTTACAGTATTGGATGCTCAGTTTGATGGCTGCATTTGACTTAGTGTCCACCAACCACGTGAATATCCATATCAAATATATCAAGGCTTTAATAAGCTTCAATATATAGTAGAGGTTAAAATAAAACTTACTTCTAAAACTGATTGCGATTCAATTTTCCTGCCATAACAATGAGGTTACATTTAAGATACAGTACAATGAATGTAAATTAATCCAAAAACCTTATAATGTTTGTTGGATTCCTATAGGTTTTTTTAAATTATCAGAGTGTATTATTCATTTGGGTCAACACTATTCTTGAACTATTTACGTCAAAAAGATACATGTTCCAGCTTCAGGATGTTATGTCATATAAACAATATCTAAAAAGGACTTCAGACAAAGTGATTGCACCTGCTGTAACGAGTTTATAGAAAGTATTAAGTATATCGTCTTCACACATAAACTCTGGGAAACAAATCTTTAGAATGAATTGCAGCAAGAATTAACATTCATGCATGAAAACCAAATATACTGTGCTGCTCATTTTATTCTAATATTTTAAAAAATAATTACATTTCTGGTGGATGTATGTATTCGAAAGGTAATCTTTTGGCAAATGACTAAGCTTTGTTGCAGTCTTTAATCACTTCCTTTACATTCATGTCATAATACAGTTATAGAGAAACCACAGTAGCAACTGGAGAAATATTACACAGAGATATAAATAGTTGGACTACAAATTAGTAGCCAACCTCTCTTCTCAAAAGGAGAATACAATTAAGTTTTCAGATTATGGTAGAAGAGTAAAATCAAAACTGTCTGATAAATCATATTTTGACTGCTTGACTTGGTTGATGAAAGGTTACTTAAACATTTTTTTCTTAATGTTCTAAAATTGTTTGGGGCCCCGTGGTGAGGGTGTTTGGTGTGGCCACCAGCAGGGGTTAAATTGGGCCGGGGCTGTCCGGGGCTAAGCCCCGGCACATAGGACGATGCTCTGATGTCATCACCCTCGCACATTTGTCATATGTTTACAAAAAACGATATATATGTTAACACTTTCTCGTTCTTAATATATGCTATATTTAGCGTCGATATGTGTTGAATTTACTTTAAAATAGCAGATCACTGTGACCGGATATATTTTTTTCGGCTTAGTGAACGTGTGTCTCTTCCTCCGCGGCTCCTCCGTGCAGAGAGTTTGCAGCGGTGTGTGTCAGCGACGTGCAGTCAGGTGAGGCAGGGGAGGCACGGATTGGCCGTCGGGAGAGTCGGGACGCTGGCCAGCTGTGAGTTCTGGAGAATCACAGAACGCCCCCCCCCCCCCCCCCGTTGACAATTCACGAGCGTCTAACTCTCTACACCCCCTCCCCCCCCCACCGTCACACCTTTTAACAGACACCCCACCCCATATATCAAATCCCAACATAACCCCCCTGTAACTGCCAGCCACCCCGGGTCCGCCACTGCAGCAGCCACAACCTGGGCATTTGGAATGGGGATCTCTTTTAAATATTTTGTTATCTCGCAAACAACAGCTCCATTTTCTCCACAGTTGAGTAATCCATGTTTCGTCTCGTGGAAGAAAACGTTGACTTGCAGCTGAACGTTAGCTCCTTGTTGCACATTTGGAATGAACTTGGTCTCATATGCGTGGTGCATCAAAACCAGAATGACAGGTTTATCGCCTGAGGACACAAAAAGAGGAGGATAAATGACATAATTAGGGAGTTAGAGATTAGAGATTAAAGCTCTAATGTAAGGTTTGGTGTGGAAAGCAATCCTAAGAAATTATAAATTATAATCAAAACATGTAGTTTATTTGTTTAACCCTTAGATGCATAATTGGGTCTTTTTTGAACCGGTGAGGTGGTTTTCTTAGAGTATCTTTGTAAATACATTTTTTATCATTTCATATTCCAGCTATTCCTCAAAAACATGTTTTGGATATCATGCCATTCAAATTTTAAATTTACATTTTAAGAAATTGTAGTTTTTGTATTACTACCCCAAGCTTCCATAAGTGGGTCAAAAATTACCCGCATGCATTTTCTATGGAATTTCGTTTTTTTTTCAAAATGTAAAAAGAATGTCTAAAATTATAAATAGTGAACAATTAAATATAAAATATTTCTAGTGTGAACCAAAATATAATACAAAATATTATACAAGGGATTTTTCTTAACCAAAATGACAAAAATGGCATAAAAACACATATTATTCTAATACGGGTCCTTTTTGACCCACTTATGGAAGAGTGTAGGGTCCAGTCATTCGTGCATCTAAGGGTTAATCATAAATATCAATATACTGCATATTCCTTAATAAATACATCAATATTTTGATAACCTGACTATGCTTAAATAAGTAAGAAAGAACCTTTATGTGAATACAAATGTATAAGCCATTTCCATTCAGTATGAACAGGCTGAAACAAATGTTCCCTTACCTTTAACCTCTCTCATGGCTGACTCAACATCTGGCCCCATGCGAGAAACGATGGGGCAGAAGACAATAGTGACGTCGTAGTCGTTGCTGTTGCTTTGAACAAGATCAAACTGATTCTTTACTTCATTCTTCACTTTCTCCGTCAGCTGATCATGTGCACCAAAGGTTGTTCCGGTAACAACCATCTGGTACACCAATTTGGCTGTTGGGAGGAAAATGGATGTAAATATCAAAGAGATTAATACACAAACATAACTTGAGAGAACCTACTCTAGAATAAAATGATGTGTTTTGCTATGCAGTTCCAAAATAATCGTAAAAACAAATTTGAACATCTGAGTTTCTAACTATCCAACTATGACTCACCTTTCCGTTTATTCACAACCTTGGAGGGCTCTTCTGATGAGAAAAAACAGCAACATCAATTAGTCAGGTTCATTCACAATATCATTCAAAAGTTTGTGATCTCCTTCCATTAAAGCTTGATTGGACACAGTGAAATGGCTGAGAGGACTACTTTATATGACTTTACTCTAAGGTTGGAGAGAGTATGCTTTACACACAGATCCTTTTTTTTATTAAGTGTTTCCAAAAAAGTCATGTTTTCCATGAAGAACTAACACTGTTTCTCACAACAGAAATAGATGCTTAGTCTTACAGGTTAGCACTCAGTATAACATCATCAGTGAACATGAACTGAAAATGCTATGGACAAACAAATCACAGTTTATCTCTATTTCATTTGACCACAGTAGACCCAAAGAGGAACAATTTCCCCAAACATCCGGTTGTGGCTAAAAATGACTTGACTGTCACATACGCTCTTCTGAACTGATAAACAATTTCAAATTGAAGGGTCTTTGGAGGGAAATGTGGTAACAAACAGTTATCTCCCTTGTCAGGCAAACTCTGAGACCATCAGCTTTGTAGAAGATATACTCATTTAATTGTTTTTCTTTTGCTATTTCAATATAAATAATACATTTGTGTCTGAATTATAATTTTGGGGATTTTTCAATAAAACAAATGATTCCAAACTTTCTACCAGTCATGTAGAATTTGAAAAAACTCTGCTGTTGTAAACATGAACAAACATTGACATGAGAAAATTCTTGAAGAAGAAACATTTCAAAATCAACTCCAAAAGGGACATTCATTTTGGGTTATAAGCTCAAAGTGTTCTACTTATACATTAGACCAACCATGGATAGGGTATTTCCGTGTGTCAAAGACAATGTCAAGGAAATAGCATAATTCAATGACTGGCAAAAAAATAAACCACATAGATTTGATTAACTGAGCACATATGTTTGCTAAGGTGGACAGATGTTTACCCTTTACCCAGTAGGCCAAAGTCTGGGATGACATACTCTAAACTCAAAGTTCAGTGACAAGCATTTCCAGGGCTTTTCACCGTACCAAAATAGCAAGTATGTGCCAAATGTGAAAGTGAAAGGGATGTTAAAAGGCTGTACATACCCTTGGAAGGGTTGCCGTTATTCACCCTTGTGGGGGGGGGCTGTTTAACGGGCTTCTGAAACAAAAATGTTATATTACAGAAATATTGAATGACTTAATTAAGGCCTAGTTTCTATGTAGCCTCTATTAAATCTCACATTTTAGTTTGAAAGCTCACCTGATTTGAGGGTGGTGGTGAGGGTGTTTGGTATGGCCAACGGAGTTGCCAGGATGGCCACTCCCAGCCACCCCCCAGCTCCGCCACTGCAGCAGCCACAACCTGGGCATTTGGAATGGGGATCTCTTTTAAATGTTTTGTTATCTCGCAAACAACAGCTCCATTTTCTCTACAGTGGAGCAGTCCATGTTTTGTCTCGTGGAAGAAAACGTTGACTTGCAGCTGAACGTTAGCTCCTTGTTGCACATTTGGAATGAACTTGGCCTCATATGCGTGGTGCATCAAAACCAGAATGACAGGTTTATCGCCTGAGGACACAAAAAGAGAGGAGGACAAATGAGATCATTAGGGAGGAAAATGGTAGATTAAAGCTCTAAATGTAAGGTTTGGTGTGGAAAGCAATCCTAAGAAATGATAAATGATAATCAAAACATGTAGCTTATATGTTTAATTATAAATATCAATATACTGCATATTCCTTAATAAAAACATCAATATTTTTGATAACCTGACTATGCTTACACAGGTAAGAAAGAACCTTTATGTGAATACAAATGTAGAAGCCATTTCCATTCAGTATGAACAGGCTGAAACAAATGTTCCCTTACCTTTAACATCTCTCATGGCTGACTCAACATCTGGCCCCATGCGAGAAACGATGGGGCAGAAGACAATAGTGACGTCGTAGTCGTTGCTGTAGCTTTGAACAAGATCAAACTGATCCTTAACGTCCTTCTTCACTTTCTCCATCAGTTGAACATGTGCATCAAAGGTTGTCCCGGTAACAACCATCTGGTACACCAATTTGGCTGTTGGGAGGAAAATGGATGTTAATATCAAAGAGATTAATACACAAACATAACTTGAGAGAACCTACACTAGAATAAAATGATGTGTTTTGCTATGCAGTTCCAACAAAATTGTTATAACAAATTTGAACATCTGAGTTTCTAACTATCCAACTATGACTCACCTTTCCATTTATTCACAACCTTGGAGCGCTCTTCTGATGAGAAAAAAAACAGCAACATCAATTAGTGAGGTTCATTCACAATATCATTCAAAAGTTTGTGATCTCCTTCCATTAAAGCTTGATTGGACACAGTGAAATGGCTGAGAGGACTACTTTATATGACTTTACTCTAAGGTTGGAGAGAGTATGCTTTACACACAGATCTTCTTTTTATTATGAAATGTTTGCAAAAAAAGTCATGTTTTCCATGAAGAACTAACACTGTTTCTCACAACAGAAATAGATGCTTAGTCTTACAGGTTAGCACTCAGTATAACATCATCAGTGAACATGAACTGAAAATGCTATGGACAAACAAATCACAGGAAACAGCTCGAGCAGTTCTTCTCGAGTCAGTGACCGGATGTCAGAGTTGCTGCGTAAACCTGCCTCTGAAACAACACGGTTTGTTTTATCTATGCTTTTAAAACTGAAATATAGTACTATAACTATGCTAATGGTTTATTTTCAATAGTCACTTCTTCAAAATGGCCACTTACCTTGCAGAACTTTAGCAACATCCTGGTGTTCCCCCTTTATTTTCTCCAGTAAATCTGTCATGATTTCACCTGTAGGGAAACAAAACAGATTCAACCCCCCCCCCCATCACTCATCTGTGATAATTCGCCTACATTTCTTGTATTAAACCCTTTGTAATCATATTTCACCCAAATGCTCCTAAATAAAAATTCACCCTTATTACAAATGCATTGAAACTTGACATTTACACTTATTTTCAGTGAATAATAATAATATGACGACTCACTTCTAGCAGTTTCAACACATTTTGTTCAGTCACTAGAGCAGGGGACCCCAACCTTGTTGACAGTGAGAGCTACCTGAAGGACCCGAGGAATATCGAAGGCTACTTGTTTGACATGATCTTTATGAAGAATATACATTTGCAATTTTCCTTTAAATAATGAATATTATGAATTGAATAGGCTAAGAAAATGATCTTTACTTTACTGTTTCCAATGGGCGTCACCTTGTATTTAAAAGTAGTTTTATTTTTTCAAATTGAAATAAAACTGTATTGCACCCCAATCTTTGTTTGTACACACTAGTTTCCCTATTTGTAAGCAGCCCCTGTAGACACAGGATTTAGTCAGTCTATTTATAAATTAACTCTGAATGTTGGATTTCCTTTATTGATCCTGAAAACACATTCTATACGGGGCGGAAATCCTGCGGCGATGCACGTACTGTAACGGCAGTTTATAGAAAGTATTAAGTATATCTTCATCACACATAACATACACTTTGGGAAACAAAACTTTAGAATCAGTTGCAGTAAAAATGTGCCCATCGTACAGGGCAAATGAAAAGTGTAACCGGGGTGAAAAGGGTGTTACATTTACTTAATTATGAATATTGTTGCATCAAGGCCGAAAATTAGGATGAGCGGCAACAGTAAAAAAGGTTTTTTTCCCCCCCAGATCTGGCGCCCGAGGCGACCGCCTATTCATCCATGTGTTGGTTGGATCCGTTCTAAAATCCTCCATGTGTCCAGGAAACTTTAAAAATAACGGTAATTGATTTTCAACTCATCACTCAGTTACTTAACGTTTTTGTTTTTTTCATATAAATGTACTAGTTTTGTAGGCTACTGGTCATGTTTGAATTTATTTACCTAAGACATAATAGTAAATAGATTTTTGTTTTAAAGGTGACTTTATGAACACTTTTATGCATACTTGTGTTGAGGATGGAGTAAAAATATCGTTTATCATTATTATCCTATTTTTAGGTGTGCAAATGTCACCAGAGTCCGGCATTTAGGGCTTCTGTTTGTAGAAACTTGAGAAATCTTATGTGCACCCCCCCTACCCCCCGTTACCAAAACATGGACCAACCAGTGATCATCATTCTTTGGGTATAAAGACAGATTTATTCTGCAACCAAAATCTGTGACAATATAAAATACAATTATTCAAAGTGATGAGAGATTAAGAATAATAAAAAAGATAGAATGCATTTTTTTTTTAAAACCCTACCTGAGTTGGGATTTGGAATCAATACAAGACCCTTCCTCAGGGTATGCCTAATTTCGGGCATCTGCTTTACTGGACAATCTTTCCCGGCTACTTCATTGTTCACGCGGCGGAGTATGACTTGAATTTCTTCTTTCCTAAAAAGATATGAGGGGTAGAAAAACATGTTATCACATGATGGTCACATTAAACACACAGTAAAATATACATGTTAACGATTTTATCATCAGATTTAGATCTACAAAATCTTTCGGATATTTCAATAACTATATAATTAATGTTGAGTTAGACATTTACCTTTCACAGCCCACTTTTAGCTGCTTACAGACAGATTGGATGAACCCGCTCCCCTCCGTTGGGCTTCTTAAAGCATTATGACCTTCAACAGTGGCATAATGAAAAAGAAAATCTGCTTCCTGAGGGATGGATGTCGAGTGAGAGTCATCAGCCAGCGGATCTTTTAATAACACCCCAGGTCCCTGGCAGGCCTGGATCAGGAACACTTTGGGCTTGTCAGTGAGGGGAGATTGAGTTGCCATGAAGGTTTTCCTTATTTGTTCGATAGGGAGGAGCTGCCTATCAATCCCCGATACGTTGCCCTTGTTTCCATGACTGAGAACACAGCAGATGAAGGCATCGCCATGCTGAGGAGCCTCTCGAAGATCGGTGAATCCGCTGCCTTTTAAACATGTATTGTATACCTGTGGTGTTTATTTTAATTATTTTATTATCTTTGCTTTGTAATGCCTGTTGTAAAATGCCATTATATAATGTGTTTTTACTGTATTTATTCATAAAAAGTATTTTAATTTGTTTTGTAAAGCACTTTGAATTGTCGCGTACAGAAAAGTGCTATATAAATAAACTTGCCTTGTCTTGCCTTGCCTTGCGAGTCCACTCCTTGACATTGAGCTCCTGCAGCTGAGAAAGGTCGCACTGAGAAGCAAAGCATACCAGCGCTCGCTCCATCTGGTCCTTGGTTTGGTCTTTACACATCAGCACTCTGAACCCCAGCCAGCTGAACACCTTTGCCAAGCTTTCTGCAGGGAAATAAAACCTAGTTAGGCTTCAACAGGCAAAACCGGGATGATAATATTAATCTGTCAACTCAGTAACATACCCGCATCTATATCGGTTCCTTCTCTCACGTCACCATCCAAAAAACGTGCGTTGTTTATGATCACGCAGAGGCCGGTTGGCTGGCTGTTCAACTCATACTGCCCGTCCTGAAAACAACAGAAACAATTTCACACAAACACAAAATGATGAAACTTACTAGAATGGATTAGGGCTGGGCTATGTGGACAAAATCAAATATATTTACACATTAAGGTTTTTGATTAATAATAATAGCTATGTGGATATAATACCTAAATAGTGCTGCAGATAATTAAATATATTAATACATAGTCCAAAAGTGGATGCAAGTACTCAAAACGGGGGGTTACGTATTGTAACCCTAGTTATATAAGCACAGGCGGAGCCCTCTACTGGACTCTATGGGTATTACCTTATGCTGCGTGCATTCTCCCACTGAGACTTCTATAGACGTAGCCGCCCCAGGACGGGCCTACCTGAATGCGCGAGCATCACACCGTATAAAAGGAGGCCTCGCCTCCTGACTATCATCCAATACCTCTCTTCAGCGAGCGGAATAGGACAGACAGTGCCCTGAGTAGAGGGCTCCGCCTGTGCTTATATAACTAGGGTTACAATACGTAACCCCCAGTTATATCTCTCACAGGCTCCGCCCTCTACTGGACTCTATGGGTACAGTGGGTGGAGCCCTGATGTATACGCGCACTGTCGTCCAACAACACCATTCCACCCTACTGCCCCTGACTGGCTTTTCTGGTCAGCAGCTGCTGCCCCACATTCTCCTTTAACCTGTTAAGCCCTGAGCCTGTTTTTCAGGTCTCAGGCTCGAAAATGACATTCCCAGAACAAATGACCATATCTTCCCTTCTAAAAGGGTTAAATTAATAATCTTTTTTCTCAAAGTAATGATAAACCTGTGAGTTGGATGTAGAAAAGTCAGAATCAATATAGATGTTTTTTATTTGAAAGAAAATTCAGATTTTACATAGTAAAAAACTGTAAATTATAGTGTCCGTCCAAAAATTATTTTTTACTTATAGTGAAAACTACCCTTGGATGATGGTAAGGTAGACTAAAAGCTTTAGGAATCCAAAGTACAATATATAATAAGTACCCTGTATCAAGATTGATGCAAAACAAGTGACATTTGACCTTTTTAGAGAGATTTAGCAAAAAGAAACCACTTCTGGGGTCCCTTGTCGATTTTGATGGTTGACACCTCTTTCTGACCGTCAGAGCCAATAGAATCGAAGGGGGAGTCCCCCACACACACTCATTGTGAAGAGAAGAGGTGGGGGCTTCGCGCATGTAATTTAGCATCAGAGTGAACCAGGGGTGTCGCCTGGACCTGAAAACATTCGGGGCTTAGCCCACAGTGGCGGCGGCCGCGGCGCTACTGTGGAATTTTTTACTGCAACACTCCCCACACTCACAGTACACCCGCGACTGTTACAATGAAGGCTCGATAAGAAGATTTTTTTTTAAATATTTCAGTTACAGATGGAGCATCTTATTTCAGACAGTTTGAAACGCGAGGGTCGTGATTGGTCCGTGATTGGTCCGTGATCGGCCCGTGATCGGTTCGTGATGAAGAGCCGGCCCCCAGTCTGATTTGATACCGCCCCCGTGATAAATAAATTTAATTATTGTGAAGCCAGCTGCAATGGATCATTGATCCACCAGGGGGTGCAGTGGGGTTCCACACTGGAGCTCATGTGAAATCAACTTCGATACAGTAAACTAGATGTACAGTATGTCTGGTACTAATGTATAGCGGATCTTTGTTAAGATCCATATGTCACGGATAGGATCATAGTCTTTGCTAAATAAGACATGTAATCATTTACAAAACATCACCATGTTGTTATTTAACAAAATAATGTTGTTTAGTCGAAAGAAACGAACGAGAGGAAATGCAGCCGGCTCTCCCGATTTTTAATCCTAATTTAATCATCATCTTCACCGCGATCATTTATGTTTATGTTCGCCGAATTGACATGAAATCACTGACAAATATGAATATTCTGTATTCAACTTCATTGAAACGATCAGGATGGGTGTTATTTTTCCCCACAATGACCAAGTCGCTGCAAATTATCCCGTTTATTACATGGCCACATTCACAACAAAGTAACGACATGACTCCCAATCTTAATTGAAATGCTTTTATGGATTTAGAAAATGTTTTTATTGATTTAAAAAATAGTTGTATGTATTGATTTAAATTGACATGCATCCGCTAAGAGAAATAGTCACTAGACACTTGACACAGTGGCTTTAGGCAAAGCAGAAAAAGAACACTCAAACCGAGAGATGAGTTATTATTACAACGTGACTTCACTATTATTTAACAACTGTTTTTATTGGGTTCTTTTATTTGGGGTTAAGTATAGGTGAATTGCACTAATGTGGGAAGATCGTGATGTCTCCTCCGATCTGCTTTATGATATTCTTTCTCCCGCTGTGTAGATTGGGGGCCCGCCGTCCTCTGTCTTCAATGTTCGACATCGCGTGAAACAGAGGATTTCGACATTCTGTATTCATTGCTTACTTCCTTAAACCTTTTCTCCTCCTTATCTCTTTCATGACTTTTTATTTAATGCTTTATAACAGCTGTAATAGTTTGTTTAGAAATCCTAGAAACACTTTTACGGCAGCTCTCATTTACGGTAACTCCTTCTGACGTCATAGCTACCCACGTATAATATATAAACAAAGTCTTGGCTTTCAGAATATGAAACTTTTATTTCCAAAATCACACGATAAATACATTTGTGAAGCTTGTAAAGGGAAGATGACAGGCACCTCTCACTCGCAATCTGCTCCTCCGCAGCGCCGCCCCCTCCCTCCGGCTGAAATTATGAATGTACAGTAAGGCATATAGTAATCATAGATAACACGGCAGGGCCCGTTACAGTTTGTTCATCTGATTTCAAATAAACAAAGTCTTGGCTTTCAGAATATTAAACTTGTTTCGGCAAATTTAGATGATAAATACAACTATGAAGCTTGTAACGGCATAATTACTTAAGCGGAGAACGGAGTAATTTAACGTTACAGCAGGCATAACAACAGCCGGTGTTTATTTTATTATTATATATAGTCGTTATTCATTTGTTTTAAAGCTCAATAAGGAAGATTTAAACTTTCACACACGTTGACCGGCGAAAAACTCTGCCCGGTTCCCTCGGCCCCCACCACGTTGAATAAACAGAAGGCTGCTTTTGTGGAGGAAGTTACAGCGCTACGTACAGGCTCGGCATATGTACTGGTACTGGTTATCTTTGAAGGAATCATGGACAGAATTTACTTCGAAAACAGTATCATCAAGGAAGCTGCAAGTCCATACATCAGGGGACATTTTGGGTCGAATCACCGCTTCTTCCAAGACAATGACCCGAAACACAGCGCGACTGCAGCTGCAATTGCGGCTGAGGGAATAAACTGGGTTAAAACTCTACCCGAATCTCCGGATTTGAATCCCATCGAGTTGGTCTGGCACTTGATGAAAGACCTCATTCGGAAGGAGGCTGAACCAGGCTCGAAGCAGGAGCTGATGCAAGCGATACAGGATTTTTGGAAGACAAGACTGACCCAAGAGACCTGTAGTCGACTAATTACAGGCCTCAATAAAGTTCTGCCATTGGTTGTGAAAAACAACGGTGGACATAGTGGAAAGTGAAATTGACATTGTCAAATTGAATAAAAATACAAAATAATGTATCTGTGTACGTGTTTTACTATGTGATCTGCATGCACTTATCAAACATTTAATTAAAGAATGGTCATATACACAGCTGTGATGCAGCGGGAGGAGCAAAACACACACTTCAAGTCAGATCATCACCCTTAGCTATTTCAATTACCTCTCAAACAACCTAAACTAGTTATACAATATACTTTTACTGTCGGCCGGGATCAGCTGCTGCATGAGACATATAAGTATTTTTACAGCTTGTATTTAGAAATACTCTGTTGTAATTATTGATGCATACATGTGTTCATCCATTCAATGTGGCATCTGCCATAATGGGGTTAATGTATGATATTACTTAATAATACAATACACTATATCATATATGTGACCCGCTCTATCGAAATCAGTCGGAAGTTGCAACGGCTCATTTAAAAATAAACGTGGATTTGCGTAAAAAACTATTTTCTCGGGGTTCGGGTGTTTTGTTTGATTTTAAATAAAGTCTTTATGACTCAGAATATGAATAACATGGGTCCGTTACAGTTTGTTTTCATCTGATTTCAAATAAACAAAGTCTTGGCTTTCAGAATATTAAACTTGTTTCGGCAAATTTAGATGATAAATACAACTATGAAGCTTGTAACGGCATAATTACTTAAGCGGAGAACGGAGTAATTTAACGTTACAGCAGGCATAACAACAGCCGGTGTTTATTTTATTATTATATATAGTCGTTATTCATTTGTTTTAAAGCTCAATAAGGAAGATTTAAACTTTCACACACGTTGACCGGCGAAAAACTCTGCCCGGTTCCCTCGGCCCCCACCACGTTGAATAAACAGAAGGCTGCTTTTGTGGAGGAAGTTACAGCGCTACGTACAGGCTTGGCATATGCAGCTTTTTCCAGCGGTATCCATAAATCTCTTAATTTTGACCTCAAAGTGCACCAGATTGATGCATTTAACTTCAATATAAAGAAAAACATCTTCTGTTGTAACAACGATAACATTATAAATAGTAACATAGCTGAGCATGGTATTGCACATTTAGCTTTCAGTGTTACTGACCTGAGATGTTTTTATTACATGAATTAAGGTGACTGAGGCTTTTTAACATAGACTTTTCAGTGTCCCACATACCCACATACCGTTCACCATCCCCCACCCCCCTACTGTATGTTGATTTTTGACTTTGTTTGCCGACATGTAAATGGGTGGCATTTAGTACCTACCCCCCTCTGAGTGAATACCTGTTGTACCTGTCCGGGGTTAAGCCCAAAGGACGATGCTCTGATGTCATCACCCTCGCACATTTGTCATATGTTTACAAAAAATGATGTTAACACTTTCTCGTTCTTAATATATGCTATATTTAGGGTCGATATGTGTTGAATTTACTTTAAAATAGCAGATCACTGTGACCGGATATAGTTT